TTTACAGGAATAGCATAAGAAGGCAAGGTGATTGATATGGAAGTGCAACTGGAGTTGTGAGACTCCTAGAATGAAATATGGTTTAAGACAAAGTTGTCTGAGAATATGCAATCTGTTAAGATAGATAAAACAATCCTTAAAGATGATAGCTGCCCTGTTCCTTACTCCACAATGTGGGAGACTATACTCATTAAATACAAGAAAGGAAAAGTAGTTATCTCTAGAATACGTGGCATAAAGAGAGAGAAAACAAGACACGTATCCAAACTCAAACTCAACGACAACTATCTACCTCAATGTTACCTAAAGACACGTAAAGAGGAGGTATACGTGTAAGATAGATAATAAGAAAGTATAATCCAAAAATAAAAGATGTAATATTGTAACTATGACCACAGGAGTAAGATAACAGAAAGAATACGACAACACACTCAATTATCAACACAAGGCACTACAGGTGGGAGATAGGTCCTACTGACTGTCTCAGTCTGTTACCACCTCTATAAATTTCTTTTGTTTGTTATATTTATTTGGTTTACAGGTAGTAGGTACAAGTCCTCCTCGCTGGTACACTCATCGAAGGTAACTGGTAAAGTGGGTTCATAGGGTCGATGACCTGGCATGCAGGTACGAGCAGTAGACCTGTTTATTACCTCCTCCTTGCCATAGTGCCACCTGTTGTGTTAAGTTATTTGGTGGTTTTCTATTGTGGTAAATAGGATGCAGGACAGTATGCAGACCAGGTAGTAGTGATTTTGTATTTGTTAGACAAGGAACCTAGTCGGGCTGGTCCTTTGTTCAGCTTCAGCTACACCCAGTACTGGTTGGCTTCATATTAGAGGAGCTATAGGCTTGGACTAAGGAGGGCACTGAGTTGTTTGATAGTCTTGTAATTAGTTCTCATGCGGGCATGACTTGGATATAGCAGGTGTGGGACTGTAGACTTAGTTAGTAAAGGATTAGTGGTATACCGATTAGCGGTATTCCTGTACTAGTGTGGACTCATTGTATGCCAGTATTGGAGGTACCAGTTTACATAAAATGTGATTAAATTCTCAGTACTTTTTCTATTTATTACTTTACAAATATAAAAATACCTTTCCACCCTTTACTAGTATCATGACCTTTATTATTACTATAACGAGAAGACTCTATACTAGATAGAGTTAGAGAAAGCTTACAATAGGCATTACAGATAGAAGACAGAGATCTTGTACTATCTGTAATGTAGGCCTAGGCCGAAGAGCTATCATATAGCAGAAGAAGAAGAGAAGTATCATTCCCTGTCACCAAGAACTAACTATCCGAAGGAGGATCATTACACCTTTCATTAATTTAATTTTCATATTTCTATTATACCCTAATCTCCTGCTTATGTTACAAAAAAATACCATAAAAAAATGTCACTTTATTAAAAAAAACTGCAATTTTTATAGGTATGCCAAACTGGTCTCTATTTATTTTTTTAAAAAAAAATATAAAAATGGCATAAATGTGAGAAAAACACCATTTTTCTTCAGCGCTGAATAGGGCCTAAATAATCTTGCTAGCAGCAGCATTACCTTGATAAATGGTCTTATTGCCTCTAGCAACAGCATAATTACCAATTAGTATGGTTAGGCTAAATCCTTCTACAGTTACGATCAATAAGTGTGCACACCAACCCTACCCCAGCTCACCTCGTTTAAGACACTATGTGTTTTTACACAACTACTTTCCAACCCCAATATTTCATTTATTTTTCATATTATTACTCAGAAATAACTTCTCAGCAAGCTTTTGGTACTGTTAGAAGCAGAGGTCAGCAAACTCCCCAGCATTGATAAACGGAATTAAATTCGCATAATCAAGTTTGGACCTTTAAGGCAACTAATTTAGGTTTGAGTCTATTAGCCATTGCATCAGAGTTTGGGTGCACATAGCAGATGATCTACAGTACCATCAAATAGGCATGTGAGCTGAACCACTTTGATTCTAGGCTTAGAACTGGTTGCCTGTAGAAGCTAAACCATGAAATTATACGCTGTTTACTTCATCTCATGAGAGGTTTTCCTGATATATACTTTCTTAACCTCATTGAGGTTAGTGGTGCGAATGTATCCATCACCACTGTATGGTGTGCTCTTGGGCCTAATCTAGGTTGCTAATGGAGACCTTGTAAGAGAATTCACTTGTAGGTAAAAGATGAGAAAGAAAGCCTACAGATTCCATGTAATTATCATTGGAAAGACCATGAATTGGTAGAAGTATGTATACATATTAGTTTCTACAATGATGGCCCTTACTAACATTTTTCTTAGGATATCTATAGTAATAAGTCTTCTATACAAAACTCACCCAATTATCCAGATGGTTGGGCTTTTTGACTCCCAAAAGATAAATAGAAAGTGTGGGCCATGAAGGAGAATGAACATGTCAAGTCTTTCCTCTCAGTTATAGTTTAAGGAGCTATTGGAAAGGGTGTGTTGTTAGGAATACTGGAATCCAATACCTAGGAACCACTCTAGGTAGGGCAACCTCACTCAGAATTGGAATCTCTGGTTTCGGACATGCTACTACCTATGTGTCCCGAAAAAACCG